TGTTACTTTGAGACCAATCGCACTCTAATTTATCTCAAATTCTAGTTTAAATTTTAGGTTATGTGTGTCATTTGTACCAAACAGTTTGGTCTGTATGCACTCGTGTATAGATAGGCTATTCCTCAAATATTGCGTGTAGTTGAAACACGCTATTCTCTATAGCGTTCCTACCATCCGGGCATGCTCTGTGTTAAGCATTACCATGGGCCGATGTAGATACCCTGTACCAAGTCCCATCCTCATAGAGAGACAGGTACAGATATGTTCCCAATGTGAACCTTTCCAGTAGCGCGCAAGTAAATGAGACCACCCACATGAAAACTCCACAGCACTCCAAACCCGAAAAGATACACCCAGTAGTGATGACAATGACAAGCATCGAGGCTATGACGGAAAAATTCCATACTCGTGTAACGTGTGTTTCTGTACTTCTACTTATGAATCACCAGTTGTAGTCAGTTTTTGGTCGGTTGTGGTATTTAGGCATACCGTCCTGCGCATGCTTTCTAGGGGCAGCATTCGTTTTTACAAGCTCCCTTAGATATAACTTCCCCTCTTCGATACAACTCCCCTCCGACGCAGCCTTTCCCCTACACAGCCTCCCAGCCTACCCCCCACTACAGCTTCCCCTATAACCCCCCCCCCACGGTACAGTCCCCAGATACAGATCTCCCCCCGATCCTCCAAAGAGAAACAACCGCATAATGTGTGTGTGTGTGTGTTTGTGTGTGTGTGTGCGAGTGTCTGTGTGTGTGCGCGCGCGTGTTTGTGTGTGTACTCGCTGCTGTATATACTGCCGAGACTAAACTACTAAACAGCAGAGGTGTATTACGACAGGATTCTTAAGCTTGATCCAATTGACCTGCATGGTTGCTTACCACGGTACCCAGGTCCCTGCATCACACAACCCAACTTTGTCCATTCGTACCAAATGGCACTCACCATATAATTTTTTTCTCAAGTTTGGAGCCATTTTACTGTATAATATTATAGAATTAGTGCTAATTGTACTGCAAACCTATTACAGGTCAGAGTTACAGTAGCAGATTCCGTAACGATGGGTTGTGCATGTAAGCCAGATGTGATCTGTCCCCTTCTCCTTACTCTGCTGCTTCTCTACCTACTGCCGTGGTTCCGGTCAGGATCTCTGCAGCCTGCTAGTGGCTTCTTCAACTACAAGGTCGATGAAATGTTGGGTCAAGAAAGACAAGGAAAAGTTGAAGAGTCCAGGTCCAATCCGGATGTTGTGACTGAGGCAGGGTTGGGAGTGGGCCAGCTTGGACAGAGGAGGCTGTGCCCGCCGGGAAGTTTTCGACTGTCCACGATGGAAACTTGTATGCCATGGCTTGGTTGCAAAGAAATAACGAATGAGGTGACCACTCTGGACAAAATCGGATCAGGCAGTGTGAAGGAGGTAACAGTGTAATTTCGTTTCTAATTGATTTTGCACATATTCTTTCACTGTTAGATCCTGTAGTAGGCGAGTGTAGACGTAAAATGACTGTCGATAAGGTAATTATAGTAGTACAGGCGCAGGTAGCATAAACAAACAGAAATGTTACGGGTTATTTCCATATTACAACTTTTTCCGTTTATTTTAGATTATAGTATACTGTGTGAGGTGCCCAATTCAGGAAACCATCAATGATATGTGTACTAAATACCCGGTACATGCAAGTCAGTATATTTGGAAAGTGTAGGGTTGTCAACGGGAAAATCGTAACAGCTGGTATCTTAGGTGTAAAAGGTTACAGGTTACAAAGGTGTGCAACTTCTGGACTGAAGACGAAGAATGACTTAGGTAGTGCAATGGGGGTTTGTTTTTAATTTTTAGAACATGGACACTACCCCTCAGCCAATAAGAGCCCTTTATTTTCCGTGTCTATATCCCCTTAGAACATGGCCACTACCCCTCAGCCAATGAGAGACCTTAATTTTCTGTGTCTATATCCCCATAGTGCAAAAAAGTGTGGTACTATCCAAAAAAAGTGTGGTACTAACTAAAAAGTGTGGTACTAAAACTCATTTGCATAAAATTAGTACCACACTTTTTAGTTAGTACCACACTATTTGGGTTTTGATTGAAACCAGGTCCCTCCTCTGTGCACGCCAATCAATCAAGGGACAACACAAACAGACCAGCTTTCTCAAAGACAAATGCTGCATTGAAACTGATATTGAACATGAAAAAATGAAATTGAGAAAAAAACTGACATTGAACAAGTTTAAAAGATAAGAAAACGGCGAAATGGCCATGTTCTAAGTCAGACAGACCATGGGCTTGGGCTCGTTTACTGGGATATACTAGTAGTGTTGCCCAACCACTCGGGGACTGCCTGTCGCCTCGGGAGTCAGGAGGAGCAACACTATATCCTAGTAAACTTGCCTGGCCCATGGTCTATGTATAACGTATTAAAGCGTATGTATTTTTTCAAGTACGTATACCCCTACTGTAAATCTGCTGAATAAAGTATGTGTGTAAATTTGTTTCTTTTATGTGTAGAGGTTTGATGTGATAATCTTTCTTGTCCCAATCGTGTCCAAATCGGTTGCAAACCCAGACCACCGGCTCTATGGAATTTAATGTAGTGTGCAGATTACTACACACACATACGTGATTTAATGTAAATTTTACTATATGCTGTATAGAACTACAATATACTTCCCTTCTGCACTTTGTAGGTTTACAAAGCTATCTGGAGAAACCACACAGTAGCGTACAGTGAACTAAGGCCGGGTCATCTCAAGTTCTTCTCTCAAGATATAGAGATGCTGAAGGCTCTGCAACACCCTTCTGTTTTGCAGTATGTGGGATCATGCAACACAACTCTCCTTACAGAGTTTCATCAATTTGGATCTGCACACTTCATTCAGAAAATCCTGAAGTCGAATGAATACAGCAAGTTTAACAATGTCAGGACAAGATTTAACATGGCTCTGAGTTACCTAGAAGCAATCAATTTCCTACATAATAGTCCAGTTGGCACACGAGTCATGTGCGACTCACGCGGACTAAAAAAAACTTTAACTCAGTTCCTTATCACACAGGATTTTAAACTTGTCTTAAGTGACCTGGATTTCATACCAGAAGTAAATCATGAAGCACATCTTTTCATTAAGTGTAAAAAAAGAAGAATAAGGTCATACTTTGTTGCCCCTGAGCAGCTTTGGCCCTTTAAAAATGAAACATATGATTACTCAAGAATGCCTCCTTATGATGAAAAAACTGATATTTGGAAAATTCCAGGTGTTGTTACATTGTTACTTACTGGGAAATGTAAATGGCAGTAATGTTGTAAAGTCACACCTGTTCAAAGTGCACGAACAGTGTTACAGTAGGGACCCCAGGCAACGACCAACTACAAAGGTTTTGTTGGAGGAGTACAACAGGGTTAAGAATATGCTTTTTCCTGAACATATAACAAATAGCATAGTTAATCAGACAATGGGCATTTCTTAGTTGTTGGATGAAGAGCATAGCCTGTTTTGTTTGAAGCTTAAAGAGCAATTATTTTCAGTCAAACCTTCCTCTTTTAGCCAGCCACTTGGTCTATTTTTTTGTCTTTTTGGCACATTCAAGCATTTTAAGAGTGACTTGCCTAAGAGGGCCACCTGTACAAGAAAACCGCATTTATTTAATAGACAACAAACAGCATTTATTGAAAGCACATTGAACATTGAGAATTGCATTGAAACATGCTGAACAAGCTTTTTAAAATGATGAGAAACGTGCACCACATGAGGTCAGGTGTTGGGATGGGTACTGGTTTAAGGAAACAGCAGTGTGTTGGGACACGGATGCCTTTTAGCAAAATATGTCTGGCATCTCTTTAAATGGCAGACTGATACATCCACCGTACTATTGTCTCCGAACTGGAACAATTACAATACATAACTCTGTGCCACCCCTCCACATCTTATGTTTTGGTTGCATCAATACTGTTAGAATTGTTTTAGATATTGACTATAACTAAAAGATGATCAGAAATTTTAATTAAGTCAGAATAAATAGTGTTTCATACGTATCTAACAATGCTAAATGTTATATAATAAAGCTAAAAAAGACACCGTGGGGCAGTTTGAATAGGCAAAAGGTACACTGTGTTCATCAGCAGGTCGATATAATTAGTAAGCACATGGGACCTGTAAAGCTAACCGAGACAATAATGGGCAAGACATACATTGGAAAGAAACAATATGATATTTATATAATGGAAATAAACCTTCAAAAATATTTATATTGCAGTGTATATGGTCAAAACATCCTGTAGTTTTCATGATTTAACAAAGACTTTTTGGACTTGACTCAAATACCACACGTTACAATATCTAACTCATCCCTATGGTCATGATAAGGGTCTCACTTACTGTCTTGTAGATGTAGACAACAAATGTATCCAAGGCAATTTTCTTGGTATGAGAAGTACAAGTATTCGCCATATTGAATATTGAATTTAAAAAAAAATTCAAGATAAAGCCTAGATATAAGATGGAAATAGACTTAAAATAAAGGTTCAAATTAACCATTTTTGTAAAAAAAATCGAAGTTGGGATAAAATTTAAAGGAAAATAGCCCGAATGTAATTGATCTAATGATAAGGTCCGCCATCTTGGATTTTTACCAATGGCGTCATCACATTAGCATAAATTATAGCATAACTATTAATAAGAATTACTATTAAATTATATAAGATGTTATTGATATTACACAGCATGTGTAAATTAAAATGAAAGCCTGAAAATTAAATTATTTCAAAATTACTGATCTTTGAAAAAATGCCTGTCAGAAAACCCGGTTCCATGGCAACATAAAAAGTAATAATTTATCTCACTGCTTTGAAATTATTGGCAACAATATTTTACGAAAAAGCCACCAAAGTTCGGTGGCCCTAACGCAAGCCGTTCGGACGCTATCCGAAATCAAACCCTGCGCGGGCACTTTTAGCCCCCCTCCCCGTCCAGATAGGGTTAAACTTGATGTTTATATCATATATGAATTTTCAGGAAACGATCGATATATATTCCCCCGAAAAGATTTTCTGTTCCACCTTTTCATGTAGTTCAGCTGTAAACGGCTTTTCTGGTTTCGCCATGCCCACACACGTCTCGTTGATTCGTGCACTTTCTCTTAACTGAAACCCCTCGATAGAAATGCCTGGCGGCTTGAACACCTTAAAGCGCTTGTCCTGTGTTTCTGTTTCCCCCATTCCGTCAGGCTGTAAACATTCCTCTTGTAGTTGCCGGTTTCTTGCCTTTAAAACAGCAACCTCTTGTCTCCAGTCGAAGGGAAGCTTGGATAGTTTGTACCATAAAGTCTTATTAAAATGATCGAACAGCATTGAGTCAATCTTGCTCCATTGGCGGATTTTTCGTGCCATATTTTTTGTAACGTGACGTATGGATTCGTCTCTTCGAGCGTTTAATGTGAAAAACAGAACGTCATCGATATCCCAGCACAGCTCATGTTTCAGCAAAATTAGCGACTCCTCAAAATAGTCTGTTACCATGACAACAGAAAATATTGTTTCCAGTCTGTTGATGCTGGCTTTTATAGTCTGTTCTGAGTACGACTCTGCTGTGTCATTCCCCAAGTCATAAAACATGGGATTACGGTAACGAAGCGGGTCTAGCTTCCCAAACTTGATGTAGTACGAAGGTTGATCGAGGAAGGTCTTGAAAGGTTCAGATGTGCTTATATTTAATTTCTTTGCGAATCTGTTGTAAGTAAATACCGATTCATACATGTAAACTGGGTTTCTAACAACGGTGATGTAAACAGTGTCGTCTGGCATAAGATCGCGGATGTTGTCGTAGTGAAAGCGCGTGTGGTGGCAGAGGATATTGTACGTGGTATTTTTCATCCCTATTCGCTCCTGGAGCACAAACCTCTTGTGAAAAGGCCTTGGCCAGCCTAATATGTGTCCCCTATACGGTAGAGCAAAGGTTAGGTTTCTAGCACTGCCGAACCGCATAAGTATGTTCTGCACCGTCGAACTGCCTGTCTTGTGGGTCTTTAAGAAAACCAGGTTTGTTTTCTTGGTGCATGTCTTAGATGTATTGACAAAAGTGTCGTGTTCTTGTCTCTCGAGGCCGTCGTTTGTTTGAAAAGGTTCATCTAAATGGCTATTGGTTTTGTGATCGCTCTGCTCAGTGGTAACGTAATTGTTGCCTGGACCCTGTGTTTGCTTCTTTGATTGGTCGTTTGTTAATGTATTTCCTAAAGACTGTGTCCTTGAAGCATGCTTGATTGCATCACCCAATCCTTCTGCCTTCAACCTGCAGTTATAAGACATGGTACGGTTGGTAATTGCGCTTCAAGACTAATATCAATATCACCCTAATGAATATTAGATTGATAGAATATTTTGACATACGGCTGTGAAACATGGACGCTCACTGAAAGACGGAAAAGCATTCTCCAGGCAGCGGAAATGAGGGTATTACGGCTGATATATGGGGTCTCAAAAAGAGACCACATAAGAAACACCACCATCAGAGCTGGTTGAGCCAATCATCAACTATGTGGAAAAAAGCCAATTAAGGTGGTTTGGTCATGTGAAAAGAATGGCAGCCACGAGGAGCGTGAAACGTATTCTGGAGTGGAAACCTCCTGGAAAAAGACCCCTTGGCAGACCCAGGATGAGATGGACTGATGGTCTGAAGAAAATCCTGGCCAAAAGAACAAACATTTCCTTTGAAGAAGCCGAAAAGCTGTGCGGAAACCGCAAATCGGGTGAGAAGGTGAGAAGAATATTAGATATCTAGGTAAAACAATATTCGGGTCACTCGTTGGTAGCGTCACTAAAATAACAGGGGACTAGTCAACACTTATTACATAGGAAGACTCTTTAGTGTCACTTGCGTAAATGCATATGATGTAGTCCCTATTGTATGTCAATACCATAGGAACTGCCAAGCGACAAAGCAACAAGTCAATGTAACAAATAGACCGATTCCAAACAATCAAATGAACAACCATCTAATCAAACAGTCAACCGCAAAGATAGAAACACATAATTCAGAAAAAAAACTACGTAGATTCTTTTAGAAAAAAAAGTAATGGTTTATACGTACGCATCTTTATGTTGAACGTCTTGGCCTTCCTTCGAACCAAACGTTGTTAACAGTAGATTCCGAGGTAAGTAGTTGCTGAGGGTTATCAGCAGAACTAAGGCTGCTACAAGCAGCACAGCCATCTGACGACATCGCCACCTCATGCTGATGTAAAAAAATGCAGCTCAATTTTTTTCTGTTTGATAATTACCTTTTATCAAAGCCCTCAAATAACGCCTTTTAATTATTTTACTTTTTGTAGAAATTGTAAAGCAAACTTAAGGTTGAAATATCTTCCCTTAAAATGAGTTTTTTTTTTATTATTTACTTCAGAATTCACCTCAAAACAAGGCTCGTGAGAGCCACTTACATGTTTTGGGTTACAGTGATGACTGCGTGGTCAGATATTTGTTCACCCTTGATTTAAACCGTTGGAGGTTGTAATTAGCGGTGAAACATTCACGGGGAAGCTTGTTCCACAGTGAAGTGGTTCTAGGGAAGAAACTGTCAGCATGAAATTTTCTCTTGACTGATGGACTATTGAGGAAGAAAGGGTGATTTTCTGCTGTTGAGGTGGCTAAGCGTGTTCTTGCAGAGAATGTTCTGAGTGGGGGTACGAGTTTTTTCTGATTTTGGTGTGTCGTTTTGTATGCGCGATTATTCTCGCACAGCTGTAATCATTATAACTTAAAAAGGTCTGACATAATTATGCTTGTATTAAATATGTCGAAAAGTATGAGATGGCAAACGTTAAGATTTCTTGTACGTGTCATGGTGGATTTTCTCGGTACTGCAGCAAAACATCCGTATTTTAAATAATCATATTGTGCTGGGTATGGTATGATTTAAAAATTGTCTGAGCATGTACCTTCACATCTATTTTGTGAACTAGGAAAGTCATACATGGAGTTTCTAAAGAAATCATAACGTTGTTAAGAGGAAAACAAAATGCATAGTCTCAAATTGATACACGCTCTATTACTAACATTTAGAAGGAATAATACAAGTACAATCGTCTTAGCAACCGTCGCGACCCTCGAATAATCGTCGAACAATAATTAAACTCAAACTGACTGAATTATGATTCATACGTGATTTTCTTTGTAAATTTGAACTGCCCCACCCATACTACACCTGCTCGGATACTCTCTACCTTCAACTATGTCTAAGTGAATAAATGGTTTATTTATACATAACACATCGCAGCTACGTGCCTGATTACGTGCAGTTTTTCACGTTCTATTTAACATTAACATGAAAAAATACAAATGACACCCATGATATATGTTTCTGCAGTTTGCGATGCAAGGGCAATGCTCACTTACTTTTGCTGGTGACTGTTACAGCCCTTACATCCACTGCAAAATGTATACTTAGTATTAAGTGTATAACAGAGGTAAAAAGGAAAGTTTGCTTATTCTCAGTAGTTACTGGTATTTCATCCTTATGTGTTTGATTTGTGGATAAGAATAAACTTTTGCATTTTGAAAGAAATAACGTACCTGTGGTTTTGTTGTTCTCTGTGCTGCCTCGCACCTTTTTATGAGCCGGAATGATTTTTTGTCGTACGGACGTGTCACATCCTGGTATTGAGTGGCAGTGATGTCGGCTGTTATTACCTTCGTCCGAAGGCTATGTTTAGGAATGTTGTTAGTGGTGGATAGATAGAGTGAGTGTTTGCGTGAGTGAGGAAGAGAGGCTACTGGATCTTTCGGCTTCCTTAACCCTAACCCTAATGCCATAGATTGGAACGTCAAACACTTATACGAGTTTATAGGTTCGGGTGGGTTAACCGAAGACCAACAAGTTTCTTATAGTTGAAAATTTAATACCAAATTTGGCTTCTGGGTCTTTCGGTTGCCCTAACCCCAACCCTAAACCTTTCCCTGATGCTACACATTGAAGCTTCAAATACCCCAAGAGGTGGTTTGCATTGTTACATATGTATGATCCAGAATCAGTAGTACAAAGGGTAGAAATACTTTTCTGCCTCTCTTCCTCACTCACGCAACCACTCACTCTATCTCTCCCCCCACCCACGCACACACGCACGCACAGACACCACTAACAACATTCCTAAACATAGCCTTCGGACGAAGGTAATAACAGCCGACACCACTGCCACTCAATACCAGGGTGTGACACGTCCGTACCGTACGACAAAAATCATTCCGGCTCATAAAAAAGGTTCAGGTGCGAGGCAGCACAGAGAACAACTAAACCACAGGTACGTTATTTCTTTCAAAATGCAAAAGTTTATTCTTATCCACAAATTGAACACATAAGGATAAAATACCAGTAACTACTAAGAATAAGCAAACTTTCCTTTTTACTCTGTTATGCACCTAATACTAAGTATACATTTTGCAGCGGAATTAAGGGCTGTAACAGTCACCAGCAAAAGTAAATGAGTATTGCCCTTGCATAGCAAACTGCAATGCAACTAAAATACATAGCAAACCCCCTAACCTACCAAAAGAAAAGTTTCTGGGGTTATCTTGCTAAAACGCGTACCTAGAAGAATTCTGGAATTCTTACAGACTTCTTAACGTCTTACAACATCTTACAAACATGTGACTACGTCACAGGTCATTGACGATTCCCTATACCTGTGTACTATTTATATCGAGGTCAGACACCTCCGTTTGAAAATAGTATAGCCAATACAGTATCCAGAATCAGACGTCCAGCCGTTTACTACAGGGTGTTTATTTAATTTCTACAGTAACAGTAAGTCCTTTGAAAATATCTTGTGCATTATTTATTTGACACCTTTCTATAATCGCAAATTTCAACCAACATAACTAGCTTACCTACCGTAGTTAATAAGTCACATGTTACTGTTAACAGGATCATCATTTTAAAATATTACCCAGAATACCAGGTGGCAAAACATACAGTGGTGATTGTGCAATTAAGTAATTCTTGATTCTTCATATCCATAGGCACAAAATAGAATTGTGAATGGGTCGTGCGATTTACAGCTTACGAATGAAAATATAAAATTTACAATTGGGGTAATCTTTACCAAAATACTAATAACCCATTTGAACTTTAAATGGTCACTTTTTCTGTAAGAGGATTATCACAGTAGAATTTTCTGATTACAAGACTTCAGTAATTCAAATCCATTTAGCCGATGTTACATAGAAATATCTATTACGAATGGATGCAGTCATTTTTACACTAAATTCAAAATAACGAAAAAAAGCAATATTTGAAAACCAAGACAGATTTAATATTTCTCCGTAAAAATGAAGAGTGTAAAAAAAGAGTATGTAACTGTACGTTGTGCTGCATGCAGTTATCTGGATTGTTTTCCTCTGTCTGACAATGGTTTGTTAAAAGAGAAAAAACTAGTAGAAGATACTATATATTATTTAAAAAAAGACAACAATACTCCCTATGTTACAATAATAAGATTATGTGGTCCAGATGGTCATTCGAGCTTCCAACGCCCAGGCCAAACAGAGCTGGGAAAGTATATAGGTTTATGGTTATAGCTGTTCCCAGGGCAGGACCTTTCCCAGATCTACGGGTGTTGTTAGTGTTCCGGGTGGATACCTGATCGGATACTTACCACCTCGGAGTAATAGTATATAAGTACATGCTCGGATATGCTTATTTTATGGCATCGATCGTTTTAAATTGCAACGACTGTTTATGATACGGTAACGTCAGTCGGATACTCCCAGCCAGCCGGGTGGGTTGTTGTATGGGAGTACCTGCGAGGATACTTACTACCTTCTAAAGTCAAATTTACATCAACAGCTGAATTGACACAAGTTGCCATTTGTAACACGCAAATTAAATTGGACATACACATCAGAACTGACCTGCCTTGCTGCTGCTGAGCTTGGCGTGCTTCTCAGCACCACGGAAGGTTCCAAGTGTCTGCAGTGCCGTCTCATCAGTTAGACGCCTCCCTTCCTCGACGTTTCGTCCCGTTAGGCCTAAGACGTCTCTAGGGGGTGGGGCAACGGAGCAGGCGCACTGTTGCCACTTCTCTGGAAGGACTTCCACGCCTTATCTTTTCTCTTCAGCCACAACACGAAGCTGCTTCTTTCCGCTTCTTCAGTCACCTGCCTAGTGAGCTGTGTCTGGGCTTATCCCCGGATGTTGAAGTCCCTGCACAGACGCATGAAGGAAGTCCCTACAAGCCCTCTTACACCGACTTCTACTGGGTATAGTCGCGTCTGCCAGCCTTTCTGCTTGCACTGCTGGACCAGATCATCAAATTTCAGTTTTTTTTCTTTCAAATGCTGCTTGCACATTTTCTTCGATATAGTAGTGGTGCAGCCAGTTACAACAAAATGTGATGTCTTTTTTTAAACCTTATCGAGTCACCAGTCGTGCTGCTAAACTCTTCCACTCCAGTGCTCCGCACTTGCGCTTCTTGTGATGTACAGCCCAACACGTACGTACTTAAAACTGCGAGTCTCCTTTCTGTATATCAATTTACGATTGTATATGTTTTGTTCTTTACAGTTTGCTTTAATGTATTATTTTTAAGTGGAATGATAGTGGAAAATTGTATACACTAATGAGGATCACAAATGTTTATAAGCCACTTAGAAAGCCTGTAATGATATTCTAGGCTGGCCATGACATGTTGTTATGCTTCCTACTGTTACGTCAGCTACAATAAGCCATGGCAGTAACGACAAGTATTGTCACGAATCTGTTTTCAAGTCGGTACGTACGAGGGGTGATCAAAAAGTTCTCGGCCTCACCGAGAAAACGTCAGGGCAGTAAAATTTTTCTTACACTACTTTTTAATATAGTCCTCTCTAACTGCAATGCACTTGGTCCAGTGATGTTCCAGTTTTGTTTTCCCCTTGTGGAAGAAGGTTGCATCTGGACCCCCCAGATAGGCCTATACCGCATAGATGACGTCATCATTACCATCAAAACGTTGACCACGTAAGTGGAACTTGAGTTTAGGAAACAGGTAGAAGTCCAAGGGTGCTAGGTCAGGTGATTTGGAAGGGTGGGGTTAGACTGCAAACCCAAATTCGTTTGCTGCTGTCACTGACCCCTGTGCTGTGTGAACAGGTGCATTGTCAGCACGCCAGCTCGGAACTATCCTCTCCTTTTCTCTTTGATCGTTGCCCTCAAATGTAGTGATTCTGTTGAATAGTATTCCCCATTGATGCTTTAACCCCTTCGCAGGTAGTCAATCATGATTACTACCTTGCTGCCCCAGAAAACAGAGGCAAAAACCTGTCAACGGACGAAACTCGCTAAAACTTCTTTGGGGGGCCGGGAAAAATTCTTCGTCAATTGTTTGCTCTGTTGTTTTATTTCGGGGTGAAAGTGGTGAACCCAGCTCATCTTGGGTGACAAATGTTTTGAGGACATTGCATGGATTGGACTGAATTCGTTCCTTGAAATGTCAAGCCTGTTTAACTTCTGATGTTCAGAAAACATTCGAGGCACCCACCATTCAGACAGTTTGTTCATCCCCAGGTTGTTCGACAAAACATTGTGAACTGAGTCATAACACAGGCCAAAGAACCTGCTACATGTTGGCCAGTCTCACATCTGTCATTCACTACCATGTGATGGATGGCCTCAACTGGATTGTCCGTGGTGCTGATTTATGGCATCCTGACCTATGTTCATCTTTTGTGCTCTCCTTGCCGCGCTTGTAGCTAGTAACCCCATTCTTTATATTTAAATAAGAAGGGGAGTCGTCACCAAGTGTCTTCACCATGTCTTCATGGATGTCCTTAGGAGACATCCTTTTTTATCGATACACTTGATCATAACACACCCTTCTTTTGCGGCCATTTTGTAATTTGCCCTCACCCACCCCATTTTCACGGGGCGTCACGTGCTCATTAATGAATAAAAAAAATTGAATTTTTGTGTGCAGTGATGTAAGACGTCATAGTATACAGCCATACCAAAGAATAGGAGTTTGACCTTTATTTTCTAGGTGAGGCCGAGAACTTTTTGATCACCCCTCGTACCAGAGTCATTATGAGGGAGAGCTTGCACAATCAAGTAAGATCAGTTCACGCGTGCAGTATTCCATTCAAGTTTTCTTTGCGCTTGTGCTTCCCACAAGTCATGTTTCTATTGGTTAGTGCGTATTTTAGACATGTCTACAAGTATGGGTGTGGGGAAACCAAATACCTGTTCGGATACTATCTACCTCTCCCTTAGTTCCGTATCATCAATTGATATGCAAATAAGTGCAAACAATATGATACCTGAAACGTCTCACCGTTCCCAAAATTTTATCCAGTTGCTTGAGTAACTGTCATTTTTGGCAAATATTAATACCTGGATGTCTAACCTTCACCGACGTCATCCATACAGGTTTGTAGTGTACTATATAGGCATAAGACTATTGTATATTCTAAGTTTTTGCTAACTGTAGCCTACCAAATTAGGAGAAGGTTGCTTTAATTACTTCTTTAACTAGAGTTCCACGATCTCATACCTTCGCCAAATGATGTTAGTCTTTATGACTAAGAAATTATAGATTAAGCCCCCTGATTGTCCAAATAGGATCCTATTTTGCATCAATTATATCTGTTGATCATATTCTACACCAGAAGACAGTCTTATCTTATCAAAGAATGCCATTATAGCATTTCCTCATAAATTATGCAAATGAAGTCCTTATTTATATAAGTTATCTTTAATTATGTTCACCTTCACATAACTTTCAAATATCCCAAGTATGAAATTCCAGGCAGTTACGACTATGTAATTATAACATTTTCTCATTAATTATGCAAATAAAGTCTTCATTTGCATAATCGATATCTGCCTGTATTTCTGCTGTTCTGAATTACATATGTCACAAGCTTCAATAATCCTATGATGGAATGCAGCTGATTTATAGAATTTCCTCATTTATTATGCAAATTACATTAATATTTGAATAACTGTAATATCATTATGTCAAGCATCACTTCAGCTACCTACATGCCAAAAATCACGACGATCCATCAATCGGTTCTTGAATTATCCGCCTTTAAACATTTTTCAACTAACGCCCCTGCAGTTCCAGAGCAAGCCGCTAGGGGGCCCAAACTCACGTCACTTCTTTCCCAGCACAAGAGCTACCATAAAGTGGTGCAACCATGTCTACTCAGACGAAAGTGTTTGGGAAGCTATGTACGTTTGGCGTACCAGTTATCCTCATCTACTTTGGTGTCTCCACTATGCTAAGCTGGCCACTGACCTCCAAGATGCCATCTCACAGGTAATAGTGCTTTGGCTACTTTCTTACACAACGTGCTTGTTTCTCCATTGTCGTGCCCTTATTCCGCATTGGCGATTCTGCAATGTGAAGCCAAACATTGAAGCCAATTATCTACCTGATCTACTGTTTCGGCCATTTTTTTTGTAATCCTTATTAGCCAATATTGATTTAATTACATGAATGACCTCACGCATAAATTTTCAACCCAAAAACGTTTTTGAACATACTGTAAATCCTAGAAAATAGCTACAAAATGAGAAGATATGCTGTAGATTATAAAGAAAATTGGAAAATAAATACTAAAGTCGTAGAATGCTGAAATCAATCCCAAACGGAAAAAAGAAAATGTGAAGAATAAAAAATGGAAAAAGTATATTATTTGCTGTAATATATGCTGTGTAAGTTGTTTGTATAATATACATTATTAATTGACGATTGAAAAGTTAAGTCCAAGAAATGGGGAGGGCAGGCCAGACGATCTGCACAAGTCTCGATCTAGTGCTATGTCACTCCTTGATCAAGACGTAACGTAAAGGCATGTGCTGTTTATCTTTTCAAGTCGTTACTGATTGAGGAATATTCTACTAACTGAAACATCTTGGTTTTTCTATCACCAGGGTATCGTTTGGAGAAAAGAATGGAAAATTCTGCGAAAAGAAGTTGAATTACATGTTCGTGAAAGTGCACAAAGCAGGGAGCACTACAACAACGTGCATCCTCCAACGCTTTGGATACGAGAACAACCTGACATTTGTTCTGCCCATGAAAGGACATTCTAACATCGGTTGGCCTAAATTGTTTAAACAAAAAGACTTCATACCGTCGGAGGACGGTACATTTAATGCCCTTGTTGATCATGTAATCTACAATAAAGAGCTGCTGCAAAGCATTCTGCCAACAGATACAGTATACATCGCCACTTTAAGACATCCATTTTCTCACCTTACATCTGTATTTAATTGGTATCACCTTTCGAAACGATTTCATGGATTAGATCAGGAACATCCAATCAAGACTTTTCTTGAAACTCCAAAGAAATTCGAGATCCCTTTTAATTCTAAACATCCCAGAAGGCCATTCTCTTACACTAAAAATTTCATGTCGTTTGACCTAGGTTTTTCCCTAGGACTGTCGGATAGTCAGTCCGCCATTGATGATTTTCTTTCAAGACTGTCCAAAGATATTAATTTGGTTATCATTTTAGAATATTACAATGAATCTCTTGTACTGTTGAGACGTATGATGTGTTGGACGTTAAAAGATATTCTATACGACCTTAAGCCAAAGAACTTCCGCACGTACAATAAATCGATAGAAAACGTCAAACGTTTAATGGGAAAACATCGTCATTGGAGTAATGTAGATTATCAGCTGTATGATTACTTTAACGCTACGCTTTGGCATAAAATTAAACAAGAAGGTGATGACTTCCCCAAAGAGGTGCGCCATTTTGAAAAGGTACTTCAGTCAACGGCAGCGTATTGTGCGAAGGCACTCGTACATTTTAAGGTTAAACACAGCGGTACAGTTGGTAAGCTTACTATTCGTAGGTCAGCCTGGAATGACGAGTTTAAGATAGACCAACACTTCTGCTTGAAATTGAAAATGCATCGCTGGGACTGGGATACAGTATTGCAAAAAAAGCATAAATTAACTTTAAATGTGTCAGATACCATCATGCAAAGCATCAAACGTCCTGGCGTAAAAGTGTTGAATAAACATCTTCTGCGAAAAATCTTTAACATCATGTAGAAGCTAGTTCTATGAGCTGAATTTCTAGGAATGTCCTGTTATATCATAAACAAGAAATGAAATAAAGATCCAGAAAAAGCCATCATTAGGCTATTTGATGTTTTTGTCTTTTCTTTTACAACAATAAGATTAGTACACAATTTTCTATAAGTGGAATAAGATTGTGATTTTTGGTGTTGCCATGGCAAGGGGTTTCTGAAGGGCATTTTTTGCTAAATTTAGTCATTTTCGTTTCAACAATAGAATTTTATGGGTTTTATGTCAAGTTACACATGCTTTCTAATATTAGTAATATGCAATTTCATGTAAATTTCATTAATAGAAATGCAATATTTATGCTAATTTGATGACGTCATTGTACAAAATCCAAGATGGCGGACAACATCATTAGATGAGGCATTAACAGGTTATTATCCTTAACTTTCATCATCACTTCCATTTCTTTTTACAAAGTAGGTTCATATGAACGTTTTTAGTTTATTTTCAAAGTATTTAGACTGATTAAAAGTCTAAATTGATCAAAAGTGCCAGGGAGTTAATATCGTCCACCATCTCTACGCCCCAGATCGCTTTCATCTGAAGTTTCTCAACACATCCACATCGAATCACCGGGCCATACTGTCTCTCTGGACAAAGTTAGAATACTGGACACTGAACAGGACTACCTTTTAAGAGACATTAAGGAGGATATATATATATATACGTATAATTTGGCATTTGTTGGAAAGCAAGCTGTTTCCACGCCACCAACGAATTCCGGGGAGGGGGAGGGGGCGACGACAGCGGTTGCATAATATTCATAATTTCTCAGTCTAATTGTGTGTTCATCAGCCAGTGAAAGCACAATATTATTGATTGCCCTTGCTCACATCATCTAAAGCTATAATGTTTTACTCTGAATCTATTCCTAATACTCTTACAATTGCTGATATTTCGCTTAAAGAGTAATTTGGAGGACCCAGGGTCCTCCACCAATAAAGAAACTATCCCCTGTGAGGATCTAGTAGCTAAATTGACCCCGCACATCCTCCCAACATCATAAATGGATTATAAGCCACGGGGTGTCTGAACCCGACTGCCAGTGGAAACAATGGGAGCAGACGACAGACAGTGATTTGCATATTAACTGACGTTTGAAGTTTTGAAAAAGGTTGTATTTTATCTTCACTAGTTTTTCAACAAAACATTGCCATACAAGGAATGACAGTTGCAGCAAACCTAAACACAATCCATGTAACATTTACTTGGCAATCGTTATACACGATAAGGGCCTACAGTTTGTTTCCAATTTGAACAATTCCAGCAGAGATGAGCCTCTGTCAAGCTTCCATGTTTGTTTCAAAAACTTATATCTGTAATCACAAATTGCACGTCTTATCCACAGCCAAACTAGATTTCTATTGATATGATAGTTGTATGTTAACAAATATACAATGTAGAAACATGTAGAAACACATTTGGCGGCTTCTTGCATTATA